TTTCTACATCAATTAACGTATCTTGGCAGCCACCACAAATTCTCGATCGTAATGGTATTATCGTCACATATAGTCTACGGTATAATTCAACCCGATGGAATGATAATGGTATCATACAAACTGCTGGTTCTAATACTAAAGTTATATTACAAAATTTAATTCCGTTCACTACCTACAATATCACAATTAAAGCCGCAACTATTGTGGGATATGGACCTGAAAGTCCAGTCATGTCATCTACAACTTTTCAATCAGGTTCGATTTTTGTTTTATTGTTAACTACAAGAATGAAATGATAAAAATTTTAAACACGTACAATTTCTTCCTGAATAATCTCACAATGACCGAAGTTATACTAAATGTCTTTTATATAATTATTTATAGAATACTATTATAACTTATATTTAATATACAATCTGTTTAAATCTTTATTTACAGTACCCAATACCTATCCATCATATGCTCACAATCTACTTGATTCTTTGTTTATAGTACCTAATACCTATCCATCAGATATCAACGTAACAACGTTAACATCGACCTCAATTTATATTTCATGGCAGCCAATGCCATTATTCGAGCGTAATGGCATTATTACAGTTTACAATATTAGTTACCATTCCTTACAACGGAATCACAACGGTATAATCCAAGTCGATGGCTCAACATTATCTAACGTGCTATCTAATCTGCTGCCTTACACTACATATAATGTGACAGTTAGAGCTTCTACATCAGTCGGATTCGGTCCTACTAGTCCATTCGAGTCAGTCTTGACACATCAATCGGGTAAGATATTATACAGTAATATTGTATTTGCTAGTTGTTATCAATTAAGACGGTAAAACGATGTAGTTTATATAGATTACAATACAATAAAAGTTTTTAAGATTACTAGTCTTATTTGATGTTAAATCATTAATAAATACACTTAATTAACTGTGAACTTAGTGTACTCCGTGATAAAGTAAATAAAATTCTTGATCTAGAGTAAATTCTAAAATACATCGATCATGCTCACAATCTACTTGATTCTTTGTTTATAGTACCTAATACCTATCCATCAGATATCAACGTAACAACGTTACATCGACCTCAAT